TAGATGGCTTGAACTCATCAAAGATTATGATTGCACGATTGATTATCATCCTGGTAAAGCCAATGTGGTTGCAGATGCGTTGAGTCGCAATTCCCTTGCATGTTTAACTCTATGTCCATTGCCTTTGCTTCTTGAATTAAGAGCCATGAATGTTTGCCTTTCATTTAATTATAATGGTTCTATCATTGCTAATTTGCAAGTCAAGCCAGTCTTACTTGAGCAAGTCCAAGAAGCACAGAAGTTAGATGAGAAACTTGTGAAACGGGTTGAAAAAGTCCAAAATGGAAGAGAATCAGATTTTTCATTAAGGAAAGATGGTACCTTATTTTATAAAAATAGGTTATGTATTCCTAATGATGATGAATTGAGAAATCAGATCTTGATTGAAGCACATAGTTCACCTTATGCAATGCATCCTGGAGGTACTAAAATGTATCGGACCATTAAGGAGCACTATTGGTGGAGTGGTATGAAGAAAGACATTGCAGAGTTCATTTCTAAATGCTTGGTATGTCAACAAATAAAGGCTGAAGATCAAGTCCCAGCTGGTCTCCTGCAACCTTTATCAATACCTGAATGAAAATGGGAAAGGATAACGATGGACTTTGTTTCTGGACTTCCACGCACTCAAAGAAATCATGATGCAATTTGGGTCATTGTAGATAGACTAACTAAGAGTGCTCATTTCTTGGCAATCAGAGTGGACTACTCACTTGAACGTTTAGCAGAATTGTACATTAATGAGATTGTGAAGCAGCATGGAATCCCTGTTTCTATTGTGTCTGATAGAGATCCTAGGTTTACATCTAGATTTTGGTCTAGCTTGCAAGAAGCTTTGGGTTCCAGGTTGAATTTTAGTACTGCTTTCCATCCACAAACGAACGGCCAGTCTGAAAGGGTAATACGAATCTTGGAGGATATGCTTCGAGCCTGCATTATTGAGTTTAAAGGTAGTTGGGACAAACACTTAGCCCTAATAGAAATTGCTTACAATAATAGCTACCAATCAAGTATAGGCATGCCTCCTTATGTAGCTTTATATGGGAGAAAATGTAGAACGCCTCTTTGTTGGAATGAGGTTGGTGAAAGAAAATTTGTGGGTCCTGAAATTGTGCAACAAACTGAAGATAAGGTAAAAATCATCAAGGATCGTTTGAAAATTTCTTCAGACAGACAAAAGTCCTATGCTGATCTTAAAAGGCGTGAAATTGAGCATCAGGTGGGCGATAAGGTATTTTTAAAGGTTTCTCCATGGAAGAAGATTATGAGATTTGGCCAAAAAGGTAAACTTAGTCCTCGATTCATTGGACCTTATGAAATACTTGAAAGAATTGGTCCGGTTGCATATAAGCTAGCTTTGCCACCTGAATTAGGTAAGATCCACAACGTCTTTCATGTTTCTATGCTTCGAAAATACCGCTCAGATCCATCTCATGTTCTTCCTATTGAGTCTATTGAGGTTAATCCAGATTTGACATATGAAGAAGAACCAATCCAAATCTTAGCACGTGAGATAAAAGAGCTTAGAAAAAAGATAATCCCATTAGTGAAGGTTCTTTGGAGAAATCATTCAGGCGAAGAAGCTACCTGGGAGCGAAAAGAGGATATGCGAGTTCAATATCCACATTTGTTTCGGGACTAGTACAAGGTAAATTTCGAGACAAAATTTTTTTTAGGGGGAGAGAGTTGTAACACCCCAAAATATTTTATAATATTTGCATTCTTGATTGGGCATTTTTATAACGAGGAAATATTTTACTTTGCACTTCCTAAATGTGAAATGGTCAATATATGAAAATTTCTTATTTTAGGTTGTGTTAATATTGACAATGAAGTTTCACGATGTTGCTATATGTAACACTTAATATTATTTTGACTAGTTGTTATTAAATATAATATATAATTAAGTTTTGGTTTCCAACCTTTTGTGTATATCTAAGAATATTTAGTAGTTGGGTAACCATTTTATTTCATATCTATCCATAAACACCCCATTTTGTTTCAACTCTTCAAGACAAAAAAGAGTAGCTATCTATCTCTCTCTTTCTATCTATCCCTCCTTCTCTCTATCTCTCTCCTCCGTAGAAACTTGAAAATCTGAAGTTTCATGAAAAAAACCATGGATTTCTACTAAATCAACAAGCAAATTTCGTTTTTGGTGAAGATCAAGTTGCTCCTGTTGGTAAGTTTCTAAACTCGTTTTTATACTAGATACCTACTAGAATTTTCTACATATCTTTTTATACAGAGCTCTAATTTAAGTGATACATGACTTTCTGGAAAGGTATTTCATAAATCTATAACTTTTATGAAGGAAACAAAATCTATTTTTGTTGGTATTTACCTGAAAAAGGATCAGAACGTACAGGGCAGGTGCTGTCCAGATTTCCAGTTTTAGAAATACTCCATGTACTACTGTTAGTAATTTTAGCATAACTTTTTGTTCAAAATTGATATGGAGGTTATTCAAGATGTTCTGAAATGGTAAGACATAGATCTACAACTTTTGTGAAGACCAGAAAGTCTAGTTTGTCCGTGTAGATCTTCAAAAGCTGAGTCACATTCGGAACAGTGATACTGTCCAGAATTTCTGTTTCAAACGTTTTTGGGTAATTTTCACCAATATCATATTTAGTTTGACTTGCTAAATCACTGAACTTATTTAGATACTTGATTATGTATTTAAGGTATATAAACCCTTGAAAAAAAATCAAAGGGGAAGTGTTTGAGGAAGTGGACAGATTTGGTTTGTTTACAGCGTAGACGATTTGAACGTCCCCAAGTTGTGATTGAACTGTTTCGTGGTAAAACACCAAGGTTTTTGCTTGCTGGAATATGTTGAAATAACTTGATATTTTATTTTTCTTGGCTTCAATTTATATTGTTATATTCGTACTATATCAAGTATTGTAAGATATTTGCTAAATCGCCCATTCGTACGGATTGTTTGATCATTTTGCATTCTTGTTGGGACTTTGTCCTTCTTGTGGCAGTGACTTTGTCACTCATCTTGGCATGCCTCTTGATTTGGATCTTTTGCCATCTTGACTTTGGATTTGTAGTTCGTCTTGAATTATGGAACTTGTCCGTGTTAAGTACGAACTAGGAAGCCATTTTTAATATGGTTCTTGATTCTCTTGTCTATTGGGTTTTGACCCTACTTGATTTGGGGCTTCGGTCCATCTTGATATCTGATTATGCTTAGTGTGATGGCATGACGTATATATTGGGCGAAAAATGGATATTTGGTATACTCTCTTAAATTGATAGTATACACTTTCTAGACTCTTGAACATTGTTATTGATATTTGGAAACACTTCAAAGTTTGATATTGATATGTTTGATATATTTGTTCACTTGTTTTAAATTATGTTAAATTGAGCTAACTATGACTGAAAAGGGGAATTGGAGAATTTAATGACTCCAAGCCTAAAGTTTATACACCACTAAGCTTTATGCTTAGCGATAGTTGTTTTCTATCGTAGGAAATGTTTGGGATGAAATCTGAAGATGGCCAGGGTGAAGTAGTCTTTTTGGGAGAATTTATGGAGATCACATTTGCATATGCACCTTGGTTTGCATAGTTTTGGGACATGTACATGATATACAGGATATACATGATATATACATACACATATATATATATATGTCACACTTATGTTATTTGGAGGCTTGTTGGATTTTAAAGACCAAAATCTTGTAACTTGAATTTGTAACCTAGGTTATTGTATTAGGGTGTTTTAATAACTCAAATCTTGTAATATGCTGAATTTACACTTTGTCTTGTAAATATGTAGAAAAGGAGAAAACTAGTTTCTTTTTTTTACCCGATAGTTTGAAATTTATGTACAATACAAACTTGTAGTGATTTTGAATGATTGTATAAATCTGTTAGGAAGTTGTTTTAATCTGTTGATTAATCCAGAAGGGTTATATCACCATATGTTAATATTTTGACATTGTATTTCATTTAAAATAAAATTATGGTGTATTTTCAAAAAAAAAATATATTACACTTTGAACCTTTTCGCATGGGCCTACTTTCGCAACTAAAATTATTCTGAATATTTTTATTAATATCTCTTTTAATATTTTGTAAGTAGGAAACTAGATTTGTTTCCTAAGTAGTACCCTCCCAAAGGGGTTGCTATATCTTCAAATAATTGATACTTGCGTACATGTCTTACCGTCGGGGATCGACTATTCTATATGGACACGGTTCATTTGACCGTTTGGCCCATTACAAAGTTCTCCTATCGAGGCCCTCTTAGGCGTGAAGTATTTTCCTCAAGATATAACCTCTGAGGGTGATGCCCCCCAGTATTCGAGGTTGATTGAAAAGAGCCTTGGATACTGTTGAGTTTTCCTTAGGTAGCACATAGTTGTTGCTTCATTAAAAACCTTATCGGTAAAACCCATTTGGGACAAAATCCGATCTAAGGGAAAAAGAGTGCAACGCATGCTTTAGACCTAAGGTCTTCGTGTAAAAAAAGGGGTCTTCGAGTATTGAGGGTGACTTTCCGTAGGACTAAGTCCCCAATTCCAAAGTGCCAAATGTTGGTCCTTCTATTATAGTATCTTTCGATCCTTTGCTTCTGTTCGGCCATCCGAACAAGAACTGCTTCTCGCTTTTCATCTAATAACTCGAGGCTAATATTCATGGCCTCGTGATTTGTCTCCTCCGATGTATGTTGAAACCTGACGCTGGGTTCTCCGACCTCGACGGGGATGAGGGCCTCGGAGCCATATACTAGAGAAAACGGAGTGGCCCCCATGCTAGTCTTCGATGTTGTCCGATATGCCTAAAGGACTTCGTGTAAAACTTCCCTCCATTTCCCCTTTGCATCGTCTAACCTTTTCTTCAGGTTTTGAATGATAGTTTTGTTTGTTGACTCGGCCTGCCCATTTCCAGTTGGTTGGTATGGTGTCGACAAAATCCTCTTTATTTTATGTTCCTCGAAGAACTCTATCACCTTGCTGCCGATGAACTGTTCTCCATTGTCACATACAATCTCGGTAGGTATCCCGAATTGGCATATTATATGGTCCCAGTTGAAGTCAATCACTTCCTTTTCTCGGACCTTCTCAAAGGCCTGTGCTTCCACCCACTTAGAAAAATAATCAATCATAAACAAAATAAATTTAGTTTTACCTAGGGCCATTGGTAGAGGGCCGACTATATCCATTCCCCATTTTATGAAAGGCCACGGGGATAGGACCGAATGGAGTTGTTCCCCGGGCTGATGGATCATCGGTGTAAATCGTTGACACTTATCACATGTTTTGACAAATTCGTTAGTATCTTTTTCCATGCTATCCTAGTAGTAACCTGCCCTGATAATTTTGCGGACCAAAGATTCGGCACCAGAATGGTTTCCACAAGTGTTTTCGTGGATTTCTCGTAGAAAATAATCGGTGTCCCCTGTCCCCAAGCATACCGCCAATGGTCCATCGAATGGTCTTCGGTACAATGTTCCATTTTTATCTAACGCAAACCTAGCATTCTTGGCACATAGGGCCCTCGATTATTTATGGTCCGATGGGAGTTTTCCACTTTTCAAATAGTCGATATACTTATTCCTCCAGTCCCATGTTAAACTAGTTGAATTTATTCCGCCATGACCCTCTTCGACTACAGACCTTGATAATTGGAAGACAGTCCTTGGGACGATGTCATCTTCTTAGACCGAGGATCCCAGATTAGCAAGTGCATCGGCCTCGCTATTTTGTTCTCGAGGCACATGATCCAGAGTCCACACCTTAAGTGGTGCAAAGTTACTTGTAGCTTATCCAAGTACTGTTGCATTCTATCCTCTCGAACCTCGAAACTTTTACTTACTTGGTTTACCACTAATAAAGAACCGCACTTGGCCTCGTTGACTTCTGTTCCCAAGCTTTTAGCTAGCTCGAGACCTGCCATTATGGCCTCATACTTGGCCTCATTTTTAGTTAATCTTGGAGTTTTGATAGATTGCCTAATGGTATCACCTGTGGGTGACTTTAAGACGATGCCAAGCCTGGACACCTTCACATTTGAGGCACCGTCCGTGAAAAGGGTCCATACCCCCGATGTTGTACGCTTAGCAGGAGTTCTTTCTCCACTTCGTGTACGAGGGTCGGCGTAAAATCGCCCACGAAGTCAGCTAGGATTTGAGATTTGATGGCCGTTTGGGGTTGATATTCGATATCGTACACACTAAGTTCGATGGCCCATTTGGCCAATCGACCCAATATCTAGGGATTATGAAAAATATTTTGAAGGGGATAAGCGGTTAATACACATATAGGATGACATTGAAAATATGGTTTTAACTTTCGAGATGAACTTATCAATGCAAGTGCTAATATTTCTAAGTGAGGGTACCTAGTTTCAGCATCTCCTAGAGTTCGACTTACGTAATAAACAGAAAATTGCGTACCTTGCTCTTCTCGAACTAGTACCCCACTTACCACTATCTCGAACACTACCAAATATAGGTAAAGTTTTTCATCTACCTTCGGGGTTTGAAGCAAAGGCGGGCTCGATAGATATCGCTTTAATTCTTCTAAGGCTTGCTGACATTCCGGGGTCCATGCGAAATCTTTTTTCTTTTTGAGCAAGGAAAAGAATTGATGACTCCGATCTGACTACCTCGAAATGAATCGACCCAAGGCAACTATTCGCCCTGTTAACCTTTGCACGGCCTTCACACTATCCATGATCGTGATATCCTTGATAGCCTTGATCTTATCAGGATTGATTTTGATACCCCGATTTGACACCATGAAGCCGAGGAACTTACCCGAGCTAACTCCGAAGGCACATTTCTCCAAGTTAAGCTTCATGTTGTATTGCCTCAAAATTTTGAATGTTTCCTGCAAATGAGTCAAATGGTCATTTGCGTGCAGGGACTTAACCAACATATCATCAATGTAAATTTCCATTGTCTTACCTATTTTTTCTTTAAACATTTTGTTAACTAGGCGTTGGTATGTAGCTCCTGCATTTTTTAGCCCGAAAGGCATTACATTGTAACAATAAGTCTCAAATTTAGTAATAAATGAAGTCTTTTCCTAGTTCTCCGGGTTCATCTGAATCTGATTGTACCTGGAGTAGGCATCGAGAAAAGTTAGGGTCTCGTGGCCAGCCATGGCATCGATCATACGATTGATGTTTGCAAAGGGAAAGAATCCTTTGGACATGCTTTGTTCAAGTCCTTATAATCTATGCACATTCTAAGTTTGTTTTCTTTTTTAGGAACCTCAACTACATTAGCTAACCACTCGAGGTACTTTACCTCCCGAATAGACCCTATTTTAAGGAGTTTGATTACCTCGTGTTTTATGAAAGCATGCTTTACCTCGGACTAAGGCCTCCTTTTTTGCTTTACCGATTTGAACCTGGGGTTGGTGCTTAGCCGATTTGTGGTGATCTCCGGTGGAATACCTATCATATCTAAATGGGACTAAGCAAAGAAATCCATATTATCAATAAGAAATTGAATGAGTTTTTTTCCTGAGTTCGGGGGTCAATCCCGTTCCCAGGTATACCTTTTTCTCGAGCATGTATTCGATTAGTATGACCTGCACCAGTTCCTCGATCGTTGACTTAGTTGCATCGGGCTCTTCGGAACGACGAAGGTTCGAGGAGTAAAGAAATCCTCATTCTCGTCTTCGATTACCTGTTGCTCTGATTTTATCAAGGTTGGAGGCTAGGGGTGGGCATCGATCAATTCGGTTCGGTTTTGTAGAATTTCGGTTCGGTTAATTCGGTTTTCGATTTGTGATTTTAATAACCAAAACTGAACCATAATAACTTCGGTTCGGTTCAAATTATTCATGTTCGGTTTAATCAGTTCGGTTTTTGGTTTCAAGCAATGGTAAAAATAGTACGAAACAACGAAAATAGATTACTTTTTGCAGCCGATGCAAGTGCTTCTACTGTCAATAGCAAAAAACATAGCTAGAAAAATTGGGTAGAACAACAAACTGCCCCGGCTACGTTTACTGGCAAGATAATCTCTCCCTTTGTTGTTTCACTTGCCATGTTGAAGCCATTCAGGACTCGGGATGCAGGTACAATCTGATCTTGTAGGCCGAGTTGCTCCACGACCCTCGATCTGATTATGTTTGATGAGCTACCTGTATCCACTAAAACATGTTTAACTTGAATTTTATTTAAAAGGATAGAGATTACCAGGGCGTCGTTGTGGGGCTGAGATATGCCTTCTGCTTCCTCGTCAAAGAATGATAAGACGTCCTCGGGCACATAGCTCCAAGTCCATTTTTCTCTATTGATTGATACTTTGGTGCATTTGAATACAGGTCGTTGAGGGACATCGACTCCACCAATGATCATGTGGATTACATGTTGTGGTTCTTCTTGCTCATTTTTCCTTGTATCTCTCTCCCTGAAGTGATTCTTAGCCCGATCACTTAGGAATTCTCGAAGGTGGTCCTCATTGAACAAACGAGCCACTTCTTCCCTTAGCTACCTGCAATCTTCTGTTCTATGACCATGTGTGCCATGATACTTGCACATCATGTTCGAGTTTCTTGAGAAGGATCGGTCTGTATAGGCCTTGGCCACTTGGTGTCTTTGATTTTTCCAATGGCTGAAACGATCCCCAATGCATCTATGTTGAAGTTGTACTTTGATAATCGAGGGGCCTCGGCAGGATTGGTATGCTTATCGAATCCCCTCTTACTCATGAGTCCCCGAGAACTTTGGCTTTGATCGTTCCGAGGAGCGTACGACCTGACCCGTTGTTTCTCTGATCGACGTATGGTTGATACCATTCTTTGTTGAACCTCGATTCCTGGTATGTGTCCCTCGTGGGCTTGA